AAACAAGTATAGCAACTTGAACAGCTTCAAGGAAGCAGTTGATAATATTGTGCTGATGGGTTCCACAACGAGAATAGACAAAGCTCTTCGTCTGGCTCAGAAAGAAGTGTTTGAACTAGAGAACGGTGCTAGACCGGGAGTTGCAAAAATTCTCTTTTTACTAACAGATGGCTCTCAGACCCAGGAACGTGGTTCAGAAAACCCAGTAGCCATTGCAAATGAGTTGCGCTCTGCTGGTGTTACCATTATCGTCATAGGTATTACTAATGCGGTGAATGTAAGTGAGTTGTCTGACATTGCTGGTGGAGAAGAAAACGCTTACGCCGCTGAATCGTTTGAAAAACTGAAGGACGTTAATTTTTTAGACGTCATCAAAACAAAGATGTGTGAAACAGGTTGGTCATAATGTTTAATCAAAATATATTCGATCAGTTTTGTTTGCTTGTTGTTGTTTTTTTGTAGTTTTTTTTCTTTTTTTTTTTTTTTAAATGTTAAAACAATTGTATTTTGTTTTTTTTCATTTTTCAAAATTTTTATTTTTGTTTTTTAAACTTTGTTTAAAAAAAGTTTTCTTTATAAATACATTCAATCAGTTTTATTTGTAGCGTGTTTTTGAACAGTATTTAATAGCTGCTGATACTGCTTTGAGTTGAGTGCTAAAATAACATGTTTATTTCTACTTTTAGCAAACGTTACTTCGTTCATCACTTCTACGGCAAGTGTCCCAAGTAAATTTATTTTAAACTATTCATGTTTATGTTTTTTCAAACTCTATTGCTGAACATGTTACTAAGACCGTTTACTTTAGTTTTAATGAGAGGTTTTATCTTTGTTTTTGTTTTTCATTAGATTAAATAAGTTGTTTTGCATATAAATTCATTGTTGAAAAGAATTATAGTAAATATTCATCATTTGCTTTACCATTTAATTATTCAGCGTCAACCAGCTCGTCATCTTCAACGACTTCAAGTACAACTGCAGAACCCTCCACGACCACGCAATCTTTAGAAACTGTAGGTAGGTGCCTAAAAACTTGTTTGTTATTTTATATTGGAATTTGTTTGTAGTAAAACAGTTTAAAATGATAATTGATTTTGCATAAAATAAAATCGTTTTAAGTTCAACATTATAACAGCATCACCTTTTGTTGTACCAGACCAGACTGAATGGGTTTTTTAGGGAAGATTTTTCGACTGGTTTTTTGTATTTTTGTTTCAATGTTGAAATTAAAATGTTGACAATAGAACCAAAGAAATGCTGTTGCAAACCTTTTTTCTATCTTCTATTATTTGAGTTTGGCACTATCTACATTGTCTGCATTGTCAAGTTTTAGTAATTTGTTGTTTAGGTTCACTATGCTCCGTTGTTTTAAAGAAAGTCCTTAGTAATGTATAAATAGAGAATTGTTAATTATATGGTATTACTTTAAATGACATTGTTTTTCTCTTTGTTTTGTGCAACACTTTGCAGTCGTATCTAGAAGGTAGAAAATTGTCATTATCATCTGCCTGATTCTTCCACAACAACTTTTTGTATCACGTACATTGAAAAAATCTTAACGCTTTTACATGACGAAAAGATTCTGTTTTAGACTTTGTAAATGTTTTGTTTTGTTTTTTCGTTGTTGTTTTTTTCTGAATCTTTCACAAAATGTTCAGCTTGTTTGCTTTGTATTATTTTTTGCTGTGTTTTTGTTGTTGTTGTTTTTTTAGTTAGTATAATTTATACCAGCTAGACTCTCTATTGTGAACTGAATTTGAGAGTCAACTCTATATGGTGATTTTTCTGTTGACTGAGTTTCGTTTTTAAGATATCGCTTCTTTTTTCTTTTTCTTTTTTTTTTTTAGCAGTTTTACGGATAGGCCTTGTTTGTTTTTTTAGTTAGTGTAATTTATATCATTATATGTTATAGATTTTCTGTTTTTTTTTTATAATTTATATATATATTTTTAATTTTTTTTTGAGAACCTACACTATATGATAACTTTTCTGTTGACTGAGTTTTGTTTTTAAGATATTGCTTATTCTAGCAGTTTTATGGATAGGCCTCGTTTATTCATGGCGCGTAAACTCAAATATTCGTTTTCTTTTTCTTCTTTTACAAGCATAATAACCTATGAAAAGATCATAAAGAAAAGTGAAATTAATAAATCAACGTTTGTGATGTTATACGATATTGTTGTGAACAGTTTCTCTAGTGTATATGAACTATTTATCTTTTTTCTTTTTCTTTTTTTAACTCAGCTAAAGTTCAACCGACGTGTGAAGCTATAGTGGACATTGTTTTTTTATTGGACTCATCTGGTAGTTTGAGAAAATATTACCAAAATGAAAAAGATTTTTTAAAGTCTGTAATTTCTGCTTTCGGTGTAAGCTTCAATGGTACAAGAGCCGCAGTGATTACATTTAGTTATCATGCTCAACTCAGTATAAAGCTAAACAAGTATAGCAACTTGAACAGCTTCAAGGAAGCAGTTGATAATATTGTGCTGATGGGTTCCACAACGAGAATAGACAAAGCTCTTCGTCTGGCTCAGAAAGAAGTGTTTGAACTAGAGAACGGTGCTAGACCGGGAGTTGCAAAAATTCTCTTTTTACTAACAGATGGCTCTCAGACCCAGGAACGTGGTTCAGAAAACCCAGTAGCCATTGCAAATGAGTTGCGCTCTGCTGGTGTTACCATTATCGTCATAGGTATTACTAATGCGGTGAATGTAAGTGAGTTGTCTGACATTGCTGGTGGAGAAGAAAACGCTTACGCCGCTGAATCGTTTGAAAAACTGAAGGACGTTAATTTTTTAGACGTCATCAAAACAAAGATGTGTGAAACAGGTTGGTCATAATGTTTAATCAAAATATATTCGATCAGTTTTGTTTGCTTGTTGTTGTTTTTTTGTAGTTTTTTTTCTTTTTTTTTTTTTTTAAATGTTAAAACAATTGTATTTTGTTTTTTTTCATTTTTCAAAATTTTTATTTTTGTTTTTTAAACTTTGTTTAAAAAAAGTTTTCTTTATAAATACATTCAATCAGTTTTATTTGTAGCGTGTTTTTGAACAGTATTTAATAGCTGCTGATACTGCTTTGAGTTGAGTGCTAAAATAACATGTTTATTTCTACTTTTAGCAAACGTTACTTCGTTCATCACTTCTACGGCAAGTGTCCCAAGTAAATTTATTTTAAACTATTCATGTTTATGTTTTTTCAAACTCTATTGCTGAACATGTTACTAAGACCGTTTACTTTAGTTTTAATGAGAGGTTTTATCTTTGTTTTTGTTTTTCATTAGATTAAATAAGTTGTTTTGCATATAAATTCATTGTTGAAAAGAATTATAGTAAATATTCATCATTTGCTTTACCATTTAATTATTCAGCGTCAACCAGCTCGTCATCTTCAACGACTTCAAGTACAACTGCAGAACCCTCCACGACCACGCAATCTTTAGAAACTGTAGGTAGGTGCCTAAAAACTTGTTTGTTATTTTATATTGGAATTTGTTTGTAGTAAAACAGTTTAAAATGATAATTGATTTTGCATAAAATAAAATCGTTTTAAGTTCAACATTATAACAGCATCACCTTTTGTTGTACCAGACCAGACTGAATGGGTTTTTTAGGGAAGATTTTTCGACTGGTTTTTTGTATTTTTGTTTCAATGTTGAAATTAAAATGTTGACAATAGAACCAAAGAAATGCTGTTGCAAACCTTTTTTCTATCTTCTATTATTTGAGTTTGGCACTATCTACATTGTCTGCATTGTCAAGTTTTAGTAATTTGTTGTTTAGGTTCACTATGCTCCGTTGTTTTAAAGAAAGTCCTTAGTAATGTATAAATAGAGAATTGTTAATTATATGGTATTACTTTAAATGACATTGTTTTTCTCTTTGTTTTGTGCAACACTTTGCAGTCGTATCTAGAAGGTAGAAAATTGTCATTATCATCTGCCTGATTCTTCCACAACAACTTTTTGTATCACGTACATTGAAAAAATCTTAACGCTTTTACATGACGAAAAGATTCTGTTTTAGACTTTGTAAATGTTTTGTTTTGTTTTTTCGTTGTTGTTTTTTTCTGAATCTTTCACAAAATGTTCAGCTTGTTTGCTTTGTATTATTTTTTGCTGTGTTTTTGTTGTTGTTGTTTTTTTAGTTAGTATAATTTATACCAGCTAGACTCTCTATTGTGAACTGAATTTGAGAGTCAACTCTATATGGTGATTTTTCTGTTGACTGAGTTTCGTTTTTAAGATATCGCTTCTTTTTTCTTTTTCTTTTTTTTTTTTAGCAGTTTTACGGATAGGCCTTGTTTGTTTTTTTAGTTAGTGTAATTTATATCATTATATGTTATAGATTTTCTGTTTTTTTTTTATAATTTATATATATATTTTTAATTTTTTTTTGAGAACCTACACTATATGATAACTTTTCTGTTGACTGAGTTTTGTTTTTAAGATATTGCTTATTCTAGCAGTTTTATGGATAGGCCTCGTTTATTCATGGCGCGTAAACTCAAATATTCGTTTTCTTTTTCTTCTTTTACAAGCATAATAACCTATGAAAAGATCATAAAGAAAAGTGAAATTAATAAATCAACGTTTGTGATGTTATACGATATTGTTGTGAACAGTTTCTCTAGTGTATATGAACTATTTATCTTTTTTCTTTTTCTTTTTTTAACTCAGCTAAAGTTCAACCGACGTGTGAAGCTATAGTGGACATTGTTTTTTTATTGGACTCATCTGGTAGTTTGAGAAAATATTACCAAAATGAAAAAGATTTTTTAAAGTCTGTAATTTCTGCTTTCGGTGTAAGCTTCAATGGTACAAGAGCCGCAGTGATTACATTTAGTTATCATGCTCAACTCAGTATAAAGCTAAACAAGTATAGCAACTTGAACAGCTTCAAGGAAGCAGTTGATAATATTGTGCTGATGGGTTCCACAACGAGAATAGACAAAGCTCTTCGTCTGGCTCAGAAAGAAGTGTTTGAACTAGAGAACGGTGCTAGACCGGGAGTTGCAAAAATTCTCTTTTTACTAACAGATGGCTCTCAGACCCAGGAACGTGGTTCAGAAAACCCAGTAGCCATTGCAAATGAGTTGCGCTCTGCTGGTGTTACCATTATCGTCATAGGTATTACTAATGCGGTGAATGTAAGTGAGTTGTCTGACATTGCTGGTGGAGAAGAAAACGCTTACGCCGCTGAATCGTTTGAAAAACTGAAGGACGTTAATTTTTTAGACGTCATCAAAACAAAGATGTGTGAAACAGGTTGGTCATAATGTTTAATCAAAATATATTCGATCAGTTTTGTTTGCTTGTTGTTGTTTTTTTGTAGTTTTTTTTCTTTTTTTTTTTTTTTAAATGTTAAAACAATTGTATTTTGTTTTTTTTCATTTTTCAAAATTTTTATTTTTGTTTTTTAAACTTTGTTTAAAAAAAGTTTTCTTTATAAATACATTCAATCAGTTTTATTTGTAGCGTGTTTTTGAACAGTATTTAATAGCTGCTGATATTGCTTTGAGTTGAGTGCTAAAATAACATGTTTATTTCTACTTTTAGCAAACGTTACTTCGTTCATCACTTCTACGGCAAGTGTCCCAAGTAAATTTATTTTAAACTATTCATGTTTATGTTTTTTCAAACTCTATTGCTGAACATGTTACTAAGACCGTTTACTTTAGTTTTAATGAGAGGTTTTATCTTTGTTTTTGTTTTTCATTAGATTAAATAAGTTGTTTTGCATATAAATTCATTGTTGAAAAGAATTATAGTAAATATTCATCATTTGCTTTACCATTTAATTATTCAGCGTCAACCAGCTCGTCATCTTCAACGACTTCAAGTACAACTGCAGAACCCTCCACGACCACGCAATCTTTAGAAACTGTAGGTAGGTGCCTAAAAACTTGTTTGTTATTTTATATTGGAATTTGTTTGTAGTAAAACAGTTTAAAATGATAATTGATTTTGCATAAAATAAAATCGTTTTAAGTTCAACATTATAACAGCATCACCTTTTGTTGTACCAGACCAGACTGAATGGGTTTTTTAGGGAAGATTTTTCGACTGGTTTTTTGTATTTTTGTTTCAATGTTGAAATTAAAATGTTGACAATAGAACCAAAGAAATGCTGTTGCAAACCTTTTTTCTATCTTCTATTATTTGAGTTTGGCACTATCTACATTGTCTGCATTGTCAAGTTTTAGTAATTTGTTGTTTAGGTTCACTATGCTCCGTTGTTTTAAAGAAAGTCCTTAGTAATGTATAAATAGAGAATTGTTAATTATATGGTATTACTTTAAATGACATTGTTTTTCTCTTTGTTTTGTGCAACACTTTGCAGTCGTATCTAGAAGGTAGAAAATTGTCATTATCATCTGCCTGATTCTTCCACAACAACTTTTTGTATCACGTACATTGAAAAAATCTTAACGCTTTTACATGACGAAAAGATTCTGTTTTAGACTTTGTAAATGTTTTGTTTTGTTTTTTCGTTGTTGTTTTTTTCTGAATCTTTCACAAAATGTTCAGCTTGTTTGCTTTGTATTATTTTTTGCTGTGTTTTTGTTGTTGTTGTTTTTTTAGTTAGTATAATTTATACCAGCTAGACTCTCTATTGTGAACTGAATTTGAGAGTCAACTCTATATGGTGATTTTTCTGTTGACTGAGTTTCGTTTTTAAGATATCGCTTCTTTTTTCTTTTTCTTTTTTTTTTTTAGCAGTTTTACGGATAGGCCTTGTTTGTTTTTTTAGTTAGTGTAATTTATATCATTATATGTTATAGATTTTCTGTTTTTTTTTTATAATTTATATATATATTTTTAATTTTTTTTTGAGAACCTACACTATATGATAACTTTTCTGTTGACTGAGTTTTGTTTTTAAGATATTGCTTATTCTAGCAGTTTTATGGATAGGCCTCGTTTATTCATGGCGCGTAAACTCAAATATTCGTTTTCTTTTTCTTCTTTTACAAGCATAATAACCTATGAAAAGATCATAAAGAAAAGTGAAATTAATAAATCAACGTTTGTGATGTTATACGATATTGTTGTGAACAGTTTCTCTAGTGTATATGAACTATTTATCTTTTTTCTTTTTCTTTTTTTAACTCAGCTAAAGTTCAACCGACGTGTGAAGCTATAGTGGACATTGTTTTTTTATTGGACTCATCTGGTAGTTTGAGAAAATATTACCAAAATGAAAAAGATTTTTTAAAGTCTGTAATTTCTGCTTTCGGTGTAAGCTTCAATGGTACAAGAGCCGCAGTGATTACATTTAGTTATCATGCTCAACTCAGTATAAAGCTAAACAAGTATAGCAACTTGAACAGCTTCAAGGAAGCAGTTGATAATATTGTGCTGATGGGTTCCACAACGAGAATAGACAAAGCTCTTCGTCTGGCTCAGAAAGAAGTGTTTGAACTAGAGAACGGTGCTAGACCGGGAGTTGCAAAAATTCTCTTTTTACTAACAGATGGCTCTCAGACCCAGGAACGTGGTTCAGAAAACCCAGTAGCCATTGCAAATGAGTTGCGCTCTGCTGGTGTTACCATTATCGTCATAGGTATTACTAATGCGGTGAATGTAAGTGAGTTGTCTGACATTGCTGGTGGAGAAGAAAACGCTTACGCCGCTGAATCGTTTGAAAAACTGAAGGACGTTAATTTTTTAGACGTCATCAAAACAAAGATGTGTGAAACAGGTTGGTCATAATGTTTAATCAAAATATATTCGATCAGTTTTGTTTGCTTGTTGTTGTTTTTTTGTAGTTTTTTTTCTTTTTTTTTTTTTTTAAATGTTAAAACAATTGTATTTTGTTTTTTTTCATTTTTCAAAATTTTTATTTTTGTTTTTTAAACTTTGTTTAAAAAAAGTTTTCTTTATAAATACATTCAATCAGTTTTATTTGTAGCGTGTTTTTGAACAGTATTTAATAGCTGCTGATACTGCTTTGAGTTGAGTGCTAAAATAACATGTTTATTTCTACTTTTAGCAAACGTTACTTCGTTCATCACTTCTACGGCAAGTGTCCCAAGTAAATTTATTTTAAACTATTCATGTTTATGTTTTTTCAAACTCTATTGCTGAACATGTTACTAAGACCGTTTACTTTAGTTTTAATGAGAGGTTTTATCTTTGTTTTTGTTTTTCATTAGATTAAATAAGTTGTTTTGCATATAAATTCATTGTTGAAAAGAATTATAGTAAATATTCATCATTTGCTTTACCATTTAATTATTCAGCGTCAACCAGCTCGTCATCTTCAACGACTTCAAGTACAACTGCAGAACCCTCCACGACCACGCAATCTTTAGAAACTGTAGGTAGGTGCCTAAAAACTTGTTTGTTATTTTATATTGGAATTTGTTTGTAGTAAAACAGTTTAAAATGATAATTGATTTTGCATAAAATAAAATCGTTTTAAGTTCAACATTATAACAGCATCACCTTTTGTTGTACCAGACCAGACTGAATGGGTTTTTTAGGGAAGATTTTTCGACTGGTTTTTTGTATTTTTGTTTCAATGTTGAAATTAAAATGTTGACAATAGAACCAAAGAAATGCTGTTGCAAACCTTTTTTCTATCTTCTATTATTTGAGTTTGGCACTATCTACATTGTCTGCATTGTCAAGTTTTAGTAATTTGTTGTTTAGGTTCACTATGCTCCGTTGTTTTAAAGAAAGTCCTTAGTAATGTATAAATAGAGAATTGTTAATTATATGGTATTACTTTAAATGACATTGTTTTTCTCTTTGTTTTGTGCAACACTTTGCAGTCGTATCTAGAAGGTAGAAAATTGTCATTATCATCTGCCTGATTCTTCCACAACAACTTTTTGTATCACGTACATTGAAAAAATCTTAACGCTTTTACATGACGAAAAGATTCTGTTTTAGACTTTGTAAATGTTTTGTTTTGTTTTTTCGTTGTTGTTTTTTTCTGAATCTTTCACAAAATGTTCAGCTTGTTTGCTTTGTATTATTTTTTGCTGTGTTTTTGTTGTTGTTGTTTTTTTAGTTAGTATAATTTATACCAGCTAGACTCTCTATTGTGAACTGAATTTGAGAGTCAACTCTATATGGTGATTTTTCTGTTGACTGAGTTTTGTTTTTAAGATATCGCTTCTTTTTTCTTTTTCTTTTTTTTTTTTAGCAGTTTTACGGATAGGCCTTGTTTGTTTTTTTAGTTAGTGTAATTTATATCATTATATGTTATAGATTTTCTGTTTTTTTTTTATAATTTATATATATATTTTTAATTTTTTTTTGAGAACCTACACTATATGATAACTTTTCTGTTGACTGAGTTTTGTTTTTAAGATATTGCTTATTCTAGCAGTTTTATGGATAGGCCTCGTTTATTCATGGCGCGTAAACTCAAATATTCGTTTTCTTTTTCTTCTTTTACAAGCATAATAACCTATGAAAAGATCATAAAGAAAAGTGAAATTAATAAATCAACGTTTGTGATGTTATACGATATTGTTGTGAACAGTTTCTCTAGTGTATATGAACTATTTATCTTTTTTCTTTTTCTTTTTTTAACTCAGCTAAAGTTCAACCGACGTGTGAAGCTATAGTGGACATTGTTTTTTTATTGGACTCATCTGGTAGTTTGAGAAAATATTACCAAAATGAAAAAGATTTTTTAAAGTCTGTAATTTCTGCTTTCGGTGTAAGCTTCAATGGTACAAGAGCCGCAGTGATTACATTTAGTTATCATGCTCAACTCAGTATAAAGCTAAACAAGTATAGCAACTTGAACAGCTTCAAGGAAGCAGTTGATAATATTGTGCTGATGGGTTCCACAACGAGAATAGACAAAGCTCTTCGTCTGGCTCAGAAAGAAGTGTTTGAACTAGAGAACGGTGCTAGACCGGGAGTTGCAAAAATTCTCTTTTTACTAACAGATGGCTCTCAGACCCAGGAACGTGGTTCAGAAAACCCAGTAGCCATTGCAAATGAGTTGCGCTCTGCTGGTGTTACCATTATCGTCATAGGTATTACTAATGCGGTGAATGTAAGTGAGTTGTCTGACATTGCTGGTGGAGAAGAAAACGCTTACGCCGCTGAATCGTTTGAAAAACTGAAGGACGTTAATTTTTTAGACGTCATCAAAACAAAGATGTGTGAAACAGGTTGGTCATAATGTTTAATCAAAATATATTCGATCAGTTTTGTTTGCTTGTTGTTGTTTTTTTGTAGTTTTTTTTCTTTTTTTTTTTTTTTAAATGTTAAAACAATTGTATTTTGTTTTTTTTCATTTTTCAAAATTTTTATTTTTGTTTTTTAAACTTTGTTTAAAAAAAGTTTTCTTTATAAATACATTCAATCAGTTTTATTTGTAGCGTGTTTTTGAACAGTATTTAATAGCTGCTGATATTGCTTTGAGTTGAGTGCTAAAATAACATGTTTATTTCTACTTTTAGCAAACGTTACTTCGTTCATCACTTCTACGGCAAGTGTCCCAAGTAAATTTATTTTAAACTATTCATGTTTATGTTTTTTCAAACTCTATTGCTGAACATGTTACTAAGACCGTTTACTTTAGTTTTAATGAGAGGTTTTATCTTTGTTTTTGTTTTTCATTAGATTAAATAAGTTGTTTTGCATATAAATTCATTGTTGAAAAGAATTATAGTAAATATTCATCATTTGCTTTACCATTTAATTATTCAGCGTCAACCAGCTCGTCATCTTCAACGACTTCAAGTACAACTGCAGAACCCTCCACGACCACGCAATCTTTAGAAACTGTAGGTAGGTGCCTAAAAACTTGTTTGTTATTTTATATTGGAATTTGTTTGTAGTAAAACAGTTTAAAATGATAATTGATTTTGCATAAAATAAAATCGTTTTAAGTTCAACATTATAACAGCATCACCTTTTGTTGTACCAGACCAGACTGAATGGGTTTTTTAGGGAAGATTTTTCGACTGGTTTTTTGTATTTTTGTTTCAATGTTGAAATTAAAATGTTGACAATAGAACCAAAGAAATGCTGTTGCAAACCTTTTTTCTATCTTCTATTATTTGAGTTTGGCACTATCTACATTGTCTGCATTGTCAAGTTTTAGTAATTTGTTGTTTAGGTTCACTATGCTCCGTTGTTTTAAAGAAAGTCCTTAGTAATGTATAAATAGAGAATTGTTAATTATATGGTATTACTTTAAATGACATTGTTTTTCTCTTTGTTTTGTGCAACACTTTGCAGTCGTATCTAGAAGGTAGAAAATTGTCATTATCATCTGCCTGATTCTTCCACAACAACTTTTTGTATCACGTACATTGAAAAAATCTTAACGCTTTTACATGACGAAAAGATTCTGTTTTAGACTTTGTAAATGTTTTGTTTTGTTTTTTCGTTGTTGTTTTTTTCTGAATCTTTCACAAAATGTTCAGCTTGTTTGCTTTGTATTATTTTTTGCTGTGTTTTTGTTGTTGTTGTTTTTTTAGTTAGTATAATTTATACCAGCTAGACTCTCTATTGTGAACTGAATTTGAGAGTCAACTCTATATGGTGATTTTTCTGTTGACTGAGTTTCGTTTTTAAGATATCGCTTCTTTTTTCTTTTTCTTTTTTTTTTTTAGCAGTTTTACGGATAGGCCTTGTTTGTTTTTTTAGTTAGTGTAATTTATATCATTATATGTTATAGATTTTCTGTTTTTTTTTTATAATTTATATATATATTTTTAATTTTTTTTTGAGAACCTACACTATATGATAACTTTTCTGTTGACTGAGTTTTGTTTTTAAGATATTGCTTATTCTAGCAGTTTTATGGATAGGCCTCGTTTATTCATGGCGCGTAAACTCAAATATTCGTTTTCTTTTTCTTCTTTTACAAGCATAATAACCTATGAAAAGATCATAAAGAAAAGTGAAATTAATAAATCAACGTTTGTGATGTTATACGATATTGTTGTGAACAGTTTCTCTAGTGTATATGAACTATTTATCTTTTTTCTTTTTCTTTTTTTAACTCAGCTAAAGTTCAACCGACGTGTGAAGCTATAGTGGACATTGTTTTTTTATTGGACTCATCTGGTAGTTTGAGAAAATATTACCAAAATGAAAAAGATTTTTTAAAGTCTGTAATTTCTGCTTTCGGTGTAAGCTTCAATGGTACAAGAGCCGCAGTGATTACATTTAGTTATCATGCTCAACTCAGTATAAAGCTAAACAAGTATAGCAACTTGAACAGCTTCAAGGAAGCAGTTGATAATATTGTGCTGATGGGTTCCACAACGAGAATAGACAAAGCTCTTCGTCTGGCTCAGAAAGAAGTGTTTGAACTAGAGAACGGTGCTAGACCGGGAGTTGCAAAAATTCTCTTTTTACTAACAGATGGCTCTCAGACCCAGGAACGTGGTTCAGAAAACCCAGTAGCCATTGCAAATGAGTTGCGCTCTGCTGGTGTTACCATTATCGTCATAGGTATTACTAATGCGGTGAATGTAAGTGAGTTGTCTGACATTGCTGGTGGAGAAGAAAACGCTTACGCCGCTGAATCGTTTGAAAAACTGAAGGACGTTAATTTTTTAGACGTCATCAAAACAAAGATGTGTGAAACAGGTTGGTCATAATGTTTAATCAAAATATATTCGATCAGTTTTGTTTGCTTGTTGTTGTTTTTTTGTAGTTTTTTTTCTTTTTTTTTTTTTTTAAATGTTAAAACAATTGTATTTTGTTTTTTTTCATTTTTCAAAATTTTTATTTTTGTTTTTTAAACTTTGTTTAAAAAAAGTTTTCTTTATAAATACATTCAATCAGTTTTATTTGTAGCGTGTTTTTGAACAGTATTTAATAGCTGCTGATATTGCTTTGAGTTGAGTGCTAAAATAACATGTTTATTTCTACTTTTAGCAAACGTTACTTCGTTCATCACTTCTACGGCAAGTGTCCCAAGTAAATTTATTTTAAACTATTCATGTTTATGTTTTTTCAAACTCTATTGCTGAACATGTTACTAAGACCGTTTACTTTAGTTTTAATGAGAGGTTTTATCTTTGTTTTTGTTTTTCATTAGATTAAATAAGTTGTTTTGCATATAAATTCATTGTTGAAAAGAATTATAGTAAATATTCATCATTTGCTTTACCATTTAATTATTCAGCGTCAACCAGCTCGTCATCTTCAACGACTTCAAGTACAACTGCAGAACCCTCCACGACCACGCAATCTTTAGAAACTGTAGGTAGGTGCCTAAAAACTTGTTTGTTATTTTATATTGGAATTTGTTTGTAGTAAAACAGTTTAAAATGATAATTGATTTTGCATAAAATAAAATCGTTTTAAGTTCAACATTATAACAGCATCACCTTTTGTTGTACCAGACCAGACTGAATGGGTTTTTTAGGGAAGATTTTTCGACTGGTTTTTTGTATTTTTGTTTCAATGTTGAAATTAAAATGTTGACAATAGAACCAAAGAAATGCTGTTGCAAACCTTTTTTCTATCTTCTATTATTTGAGTTTGGCACTATCTACATTGTCTGCATTGTCAAGTTTTAGTAATTTGTTGTTTAGGTTCACTATGCTCCGTTGTTTTAAAGAAAGTCCTTAGTAATGTATAAATAGAGAATTGTTAATTATATGGTATTACTTTAAATGACATTGTTTTTCTCTTTGTTTTGTGCAACACTTTGCAGTCGTATCTAGAAGGTAGAAAATTGTCATTATCATCTGCCTGATTCTTCCACAACAACTTTTTGTATCACGTACATTGAAAAAATCTTAACGCTTTTACATGACGAAAAGATTCTGTTTTAGACTTTGTAAATGTTTTGTTTTGTTTTTTCGTTGTTGTTTTTTTCTGAATCTTTCACAAAATGTTCAGCTTGTTTGCTTTGTATTATTTTTTGCTGTGTTTTTGTTGTTGTTGTTTTTTTAGTTAGTATAATTTATACCAGCTAGACTCTCTATTGTGAACTGAATTTGAGAGTCAACTCTATATGGTGATTTTTCTGTTGACTGAGTTTCGTTTTTAAGATATCGCTTCTTTTTTCTTTTTCTTTTTTTTTTTTAGCAGTTTTACGGATAGGCCTTGTTTGTTTTTTTAGTTAGTGTAATTTATATCATTATATGTTATAGATTTTCTGTTTTTTTTTTATAATTTATATATATATTTTTAATTTTTTTTTGAGAACCTACACTATATGATAACTTTTCTGTTGACTGAGTTTTGTTTTTAAGATATTGCTTATTCTAGCAGTTTTATGGATAGGCCTCGTTTATTCATGGCGCGTAAACTCAAATATTCGTTTTCTTTTTCTTCTTTTACAAGCATAATAACCTATGAAAAGATCATAAAGAAAAGTGAAATTAATAAATCAACGTTTGTGATGTTATACGATATTGTTGTGAACAGTTTCTCTAGTGTATATGAACTATTTATCTTTTTTCTTTTTCTTTTTTTAACTCAGCTAAAGTTCAACCGACGTGTGAAGCTATAGTGGACATTGTTTTTTTATTGGACTCATCTGGTAGTTTGAGAAAATATTACCAAAATGAAAAAGATTTTTTAAAGTCTGTAATTTCTGCTTTCGGTGTAAGCTTCAATGGTACAAGAGCCGCAGTGATTACATTTAGTTATCATGCTCAACTCAGTATAAAGCTAAACAAGTATAGCAACTTGAACAGCTTCAAGGAAGCAGTTGATAATATTGTGCTGATGGGTTCCACAACGAGAATAGACAAAGCTCTTCGTCTGGCTCAGAAAGAAGTGTTTGAACTAGAGAACGGTGCTAGACCGGGAGTTGCAAAAATTCTCTTTTTACTAACAGATGGCTCTCAGACCCAGGAACGTGGTTCAGAAAACCCAGTAGCCATTGCAAATGAGTTGCGCTCTGCTGGTGTTACCATTATCGTCATAGGTATTACTAATGCGGTGAATGTAAGTGAGTTGTCTGACATTGCTGGTGGAGAAGAAAACGCTTACGCCGCTGAATCGTTTGAAAAACTGAAGGACGTTAATTTTTTAGACGTCATCAAAACAAAGATGTGTGAAACAGGTTGGTCATAATGTTTAATCAAAATATATTCGATCAGTTTTGTTTGCTTGTTGTTGTTTTTTTGTAGTTTTTTTTCTTTTTTTTTTTTTTTAAATGTTAAAACAATTGTATTTTGTTTTTTTTCATTTTTCAAAATTTTTATTTTTGTTTTTTAAACTTTGTTTAAAAAAAGTTTTCTTTATAAATACATTCAATCAGTTTTATTTGTAGCGTGTTTTTGAACAGTATTTAATAGCTGCTGATATTGCTTTGAGTTGAGTGCTAAAATAACATGTTTATTTCTACTTTTAGCAAACGTTACTTCGTTCATCACTTCTACGGCAAGTGTCCCAAGTAAATTTATTTTAAACTATTCATGTTTATGTTTTTTCAAACTCTATTGCTGAACATGTTACTAAGACCGTTTACTTTAGTTTTAATGAGAGGTTTTATCTTTGTTTTTGTTTTTCATTAGATTAAATAAGTTGTTTTGCATATAAATTCATTGTTGAAAAGAATTATAGTAAATATTCATCATTTGCTTTACCATTTAATTATTCAGCGTCAACCAGCTCGTCATCTTCAACGACTTCAAGTACAACTGCAGAACCCTCCACGACCACGCAATCTTTAGAAACTGTAGGTAGGTGCCTAAAAACTTGTTTGTTATTTTATATTGGAATTTGTTTGTAGTAAAAGTTTAAAATGATAATTGATTTTGCATAAAATAAAATCGTTTTAAGTTCAACATTATAACAGCATCACCTTTTGTTGTACCAGACCAGACTGAATGGGTTTTTTAGGGAAGATTTTTCGACTGGTTTTTTGTATTTTTGTTTCAATGTTGAAATTAAAATGTTGACAATAGAACCAAAGAAATGCTGTTGCAAACCTTTTTTCTATCTTCTATTATTTGAGTTTGGCACTATCTACATTGTCTGCATTGTCAAGTTTTAGTAATTTGTTGTTTAGGTTCACTATGCTCCGTTGTTTTAAAGAAAGTCCTTAGTAATGTATAAATAGAGAATTGTTAATTATATGGTATTACTTTAAATGACATTGTTTTTCTCTTTGTTTTGTGCAACACTTTGCAGTCGTATCTAGAAGGTAGAAAATTGTCATTATCATCTGCCTGATTCTTCCACAACAACTTTTTGTATCACGTACATTGAAAAAATCTTAACGCTTTTACATGACGAAAAGATTCTGTTTTAGACTTTGTAAATGTTTTGTTTTGTTTTTTCGTTGTTGTTTTTTTCTGAATCTTTCACAAAATGTTCAGCTTGTTTGCTTTGTATTATTTTTTGCTGTGTTTTTGTTGTTGTTGTTTTTTTAGTTAGTATAATTTATACCAGCTAGACTCTCTATTGTGAACTGAATTTGAGAGTCAACTCTATATGGTGATTTTTCTGTTGACTGAGTTTTGTTTTTAAGATATCGCTTCTTTTTTCTTTTTCTTTTTTTTTTTTAGCAGTTTTACGGATAGGCCTTGTTTGTTTTTTTAGTTAGTGTAATTTATATCATTATATGTTATAGATTTTCTGTTTTTTTTTTATAATTTATATATATATTTTTAATTTTTTTTTGAGAACCTACACTATATGATAACTTTTCTGTTGACTGAGTTTTGTTTTTAAGATATTGCTTATTCTAGCAGTTTTATGGATAGGCCTCGTTTATTCATGGCGCGTAAACTCAAATATTCGTTTTCTTTTTCTTCTTTTACAAGCATAATAACCTATGAAAAGATCATAAAGAAAAGTGAAATTAATAAATCAACGTTTGTGATGTTATACGATATTGTTGTGAACAGTTTCTCTAGTGTATATGAACTATTTATCTTTTTTCTTTTTCTTTTTTTAACTCAGCTAAAGTTCAACCGACGTGTGAAGCTATAGTGGACCTTATTATTGTGTTTCCAGAATAATTAAAAAATGCTAGACATTGCAACCTAGCTCTAAAGCGGTAACATCGTCTTGCACCAAATCTGCCATCACACCTTTGCTATAAGTACATCGCTTGACTGGCAAAGTTATCAAACTTGCTTAACATAATACCAAGACCCACCACTTTGAAAACATGGAAACAACTTAATTTAAACATATCTACAACTATAAACAATTATGACTTTATGTAACACATATAAACACATTTTACAACTATTGAATCACAGATATATTCATCAAAAACTATGTAAAAAAATAAATAATGTTAAATAAAGTTATACATACAAAATGTGCTCACAACTTTTAACTGGAAATTTTCGAACTGAAAATCTAAAGACTATAAATTAAGAACATTAGAAAATATAATAATATTTATTTAACACTTTTTACCTACTATACCTTGAATAAGATGTTTATCAATTTTGAAAAACAAACTATTCAATGCTCTAGTTCTTGAGTATGCAACATATAGTTGACCATAAGAGAAACACGGTTTTTAAGATATATCTTTTGTCTATATGTTTAATTTCGTGTTACGTAATATATAGACGATCCCTAAAGTAAAATACTTGAAACTAAAAAGATTTTATCTATTACAATATTTTATTAACCAAGGGACACTTTAAAGAATTATATCTTTAAATAGCAATCAACTTGTAAATATATCTTATAAATGGTTATTATCAATCGCAGTATTTAAAATTAGCAAGAGCTCAGTATTTACATGAGTTTAATCGATTCTCCCTCTACAATTCTCCCTGTACTAATTCTTATTTAAGTCTCATCTAAGAGAGAGAGGAAGTGTTTCAGTATATTAGAAAAAGTAAAAAAGTCATGCAATAAATAACAGTAACTGGTTTTATTATCCTACCAATAAACAAAATTATTTTTACCTTAACTAAAATTTAATTTCCAGTATTTCTTAATTAAGTTCCAGCTTCTCTCTAACTGTTGACAAATAAATAATATTGTAAATTTCACATCATTAAATTTACAAAATTAAAGTCATGTTTCAACAGTAAGCAAAATAATCAAGTGATGACAAAGACAACTAAAAAAAAAAAAATGAATACAATTATATTTAGGGTTACAAAAAAAAAAAAAAAAAAAATTAAATCATTTAAAATTGAAATTTAAAATTAAAACTTAAAGTTTGTCTTCTCTAAATTGACATCAATTGTAACACCTCTCTCGTTCAGATGGAAACCATAGTGGTCATGTGGTAATATCAATCCAGCAAGTTCCTTACTAAGTGGTGCCATTTTTCTTTCAACTCTATTAAATGCATTTCTTCCAGGAGCGTTTGTAACAAGAAATAAAGCATCAAAATCATGCTGGATAAAGTGGTGCACTGCAACCTTTATTACTTTTTGGTATCTTAGGTTTTCATCAGGGCCACCATTAACAGTCAAAATTAAAATTGGTTTAACCAAATGATCAATACAACTTCCGGTAATGATGTCAAACTCTTTGAGTGTAAGCAATCTTTGAAAATCTAGTCCATGGCTGAATGCAGTTGATTTTGAGTGTTTACCTGATCTGATTGCTATATAGGTTGGTCCGGAATATCCTACTGCTTCTCGGTTTCCAAGACCATTTGGCTGAATTAAGATTCCAGCATACACCAATGGAATTAGTTCTGTGTTTAAATAATTTTACTGGTACCGTTGATACATGACGCTGGCCTTCAAGAGATGAACGCTTTGGTAAGCGACGAAGGTAAAGTCCGCTGATTGTGAAGCCATCCAACTGTTCAGCCAGTTGGCCTAACGTTTTGATGCTTCTATATACATCAATATTTCGTTTTTCATGAGATGCTGATCCATGCATAGCAATGTTCACAATAGTTTTAAGTAATAAAGGCTGATTTTGTTAAACTCTTGGCCTACCAGGCTTGTCTCTGACATGCAGATTTATGTGTAGTTCTGGATTATCTTCAAACAAAGATTTGAATTTTCATCTCTTCAATTCTCTTGCTTTTTTTGCTCTTTTCTGGTCAGCTTTTTTTTTTTATTCAATTGCTGTTCTAAATTGGCTTTTTTCTTTTTTTTTTTTCATTCAATTCAGCATCTTGTTCAAGTGAAAGCATTCCACGTTTTTGTCGCTTATACAAACCGACTAAATCAGAATTCAGAACTTCAATCTGCATCTGCAATTGCAGTTGGGCTGGAGCAATTCTTGATGTTTCTGAGCGGGCAGTACTAGGTCCAGGTTCTAACCCATCAGTAACCATACTGGTACCATTTTTATCAAACTGCAAATTTGAAGTCGGAAGATTTTTATGCACATTTATGGTTGAGGGTTTTTTAGTAGATAACGTTTGTGTAGCCCAAAATGTTAGGAGTGTTCCTTTTTTGCTTGTGGAGAGAGCGTTTAGTTCTTGCAACCAATGATCTGCTTATTTGAAAATTTTTATTAACTTTTATTTCATTCCACTTCTGAATCAGTTCTTCTTGACAGGCCTTTCTGCTCTTTGTAGGATATGCTGAAACGTAGGCGTCAAAAAGATGCTGATATATTTTGTTTTTATCCATATTGCAGAAGTAAATTCTATAAAAAATTTTTTTTGGAGTTAACAAAACAAATGCGCCTAAAAATTATTTGCGAAAATAAATTTTAAATGTAGTCGAGAAATTTTGAATACTTACGTTTAAATAGCTACTTGTAAATAACCTTTTATATTCAATTTGTTATGTTTTTTGTTTTGTGGTAAAATGTGAATTTTTTTAATGTTAATTGTCACTACTTAACGCTTGAGTGCGTTAAGTCTAACAAAAGAACTCATTGCATTATTTCAAATTCTATTAGTTCAGAATTTCGTTTAAAAAGAATATTATATATATATATATATATATATATATATATATATATATATATATATATATATATATATATATATTATTATTATTATTGTTATTATTATTATTATTATTATTATTACTATTATTATTATAAAAATATTTTATTATATTAAATTTTTTTTTGTACCGTCACATTTCTCCAATTCCCTCCCATCCCTTCCCCCCACCTTCCCCATTGTCACAGATCGTCACAAAAGTATGGACCCCCTCCTTCCCCTAGATGCGTGGCGTTGTTTATGGGCAGCCCCTAAGATAAAATGCTCAAGGTAAAACAATATATTTTTTATTTTTTCAATTCCCTTTTTCTTTACTAGTATAATAGAATGATCTGTAAAAAGATCAAGCTCAAATTAATAATTCAGCGTTTGCAATGTTATTCAATATTGTTGTGAACAGTTTCTCTTTTGTATAGAACTTTTTGTTTTGTTTTTTTCTGTTAGCAATGTTTCAACCGACATGTGAAGCTGTAGTGGATATTGTTTTTTTATTGGACTCATCTGCTAGTTTGAGAAAATATTATCAAAATGAAAAAGATTTTTTAAAGTCTTTAATTTCTGCTTTCGGTGTAAGCATCAATAGTACAAGAGCCGCAGTGATTACATTTAGTTATCATGCTCAACTCAGTATAAAGCTAAACAAGTATAGCAACTTGAACAGCTTCAAGGAAGCAGTTGATAATATTGTGCTGATGGGTTCCACAACGAGAATAGACAAAGCTCTTCGTCTGGCTCAGAAAGAAGTGTTTGAATTAGAGAACGGTGCTAGACCGGGAGTAGCAAAAATTCTCTTTTTACTAACAGATGGCTCTCAGACCCAGGAACGTGGTTCAGAAAACCCTGTAGTCATTGCAAATGAGTTGCGCTCTGCTGGTGTTACCATTATTGTCATAGGTATTA